CATCAATCGTTACTTCTGCACACCAATTCACAAGCGAGCTTTTGGACCTTTGCCTTTTTGTTCCACGATCTGACCAAAGAGCCTCGCCGCTTCCTCGGCACAGCCTCGGTGAATGGTGAGTCCGAAACCTCCGTGGCCATAGTTGTGTATCACCTGAATAATGCCACAGTATTTTAGACAATTAATAGCAGAAATATGTATTTACAGTTCCGCTACTTAGATCTTAAAAGGATACCTCTATGGGGGTTTCACCAGACCATATGGCTTCCCTCTCCAGTCGGACTTTGCTGCGAACTGGCCTGAGGCCAGACCAGTCGTCGACTATCCTGGCATGCTGAGATTAGAGAACAAAGAGATGAAAGCTTTTCAGAACTGAAAATAAATAAACAAATACATAATAATAAAGGTAACTCAGAAACTGAAAATGTGACACTCAGTTACATCTTTTGAGAATGAGGTCTAAATATATAAAATGAAAAATGTTAAAAACTTCAGCACCACAGAACACTTACTGTAAATAATTAATCACACTTGACTCATCATATCTTTTTATGGCCTTGCTGAAATCATCGTACCTTGAGACTAGGCTCAAGCTGACAAGCCTTTTCCCAGATTTCTTTATGGTCGACAGAGCTATTCTGTTCACTCCAGTTTCCCAACTGGAAAACGCCACCAAGTGTCACAAGACGACTTCTGCAGACACAAATGTTTTGCACACTGATAAAAACAGCTCTTGCTTTCTGTCTTCATTGTACTCCAACCCCAAATCAATACAAAAAAGTGCTGCAGCTGTTAACATAGCGACTGAACTACAGAGAGTAACTACTAGAGCTACTACATCTAAAACCTTTTTTTTTAAGGTGAAATATATAAAATCCTCTAACTGCAAATGTAGTAATACTATAAGTCAACAGCTGTGTGGTTCTGCAGTTCAGTGCTTATCAGTGTGGCATGTTACTTGTACTACCCTGGAATGATATATGGTGAATTGTATGTTCCTTTGGTGAAATCGTGGGTAATAATCCAGTGCTTCAGCCAGGGAGCATCGACCTGAAATACAAACAAACACCAGTTCTTTCTGTCGCTCCTTTATCTCTTGTGCAGTACATGCACACAGCCCTGTATATTCTCACCTTCAATATCTGGCCACGGCCTGGTTTCAGGTCTGGATCTGGCTGCAGTTGGCCTGACCACATCCCACTGCAGTTTATGATCACATCTGCTCCGGTTTCAGCCAGCTTAAAAAAGTCAAGGATGATAGGAGATAACAAACATGGTGAGAGATAACTTTTGCTTACAACATTCAGTAATAAATGTTAATATAGTACAGACTGGGCATAAGTCAGCAAAACACCATTAAAGACGACCAGCTGAAGTTCAAACCAGGCATCATGAT